GCTCGATGTTTAGTTCCAACGGACGGCGAAAGGGGTAAACAACAAGTAGACTACTCACCACGGAGACTCCGGTTTTTACATTCTTTGCCCGCCCTCCTCAAAGCCCACAAAGTGCTACACTCTTGTGAAAACGTCTGAAACAACTGCAAACTGGATCTTACTGTATAAGAAGTGATGCATCAGAGACTTGCCCATTCTTCCCTTCCTTTGGGAGAAATATTCTACTGAATTGTTATTCGAATTCCGTGTGTGGATTAGGAATAAGTTGTTCCTCTTACTGTATCGGATGTCAGACTTTTAGATGTCTAATGCCTAATTTACTAAGCCAGCCACCCCGCTGCCTTGCGGATAGGTTCTTGTTAGAAGTAAAGGCTTTGGATGAGGACCCTAATCGTTCTCCTGCTTTGTGGCTGGACACCCTGGCAGTACCCGTCCAACATCTCCCATGAACTGCACGAATACAAAGAATTCCATACTGCATCGGTCGTCGTACAAGACCGCGCTGCCCATTGCATGGAGCGGGGTGGGTAGTGATAAGTGAGCTACTGCTCAGAGTTCCCTCTCTTTTATTCAACCCTTGTCTTCTGTTGTCAACCACCTCTCTTTGCCCCCTCTATTCACTCATAATGCTTCCACTGATAACACGGTCGATACTCGCAACGGCTCATTGTCAAATGGTGTCCGGAATAATCCTCTGTCTTGTGACTCACATTTTCTCAAGCCTCGTCAGCCTCTGAATCATGGCTACTTTGACGTGCTTTCTTTTGTGCGGGCCGGTCAGCAGGTGTGCCTAGCGCTCACGTTTGATTCTCTGGCGATTGATGTCTGCTGCGTACCTAAAGCGTGTATCCAGGATTCGAGCAGTGTGATTCAACTAACTGCTCCAGGTATCTCATCGAGGTATTTTCCGCGCACTTCATGAGACGAAGTAGCTCGAGCTGCGGGTAAACGTGGTGTAGGAATAGTCTCGACTGACAAAGCTGAAGCTGCCTTTTTAGACTAGATCTTGGTTAATAGTCGTTTATGTGCTATAATACTCCAGGCTCCAGTTGGCGTTCGAAAGGATAGCTGTGTTAAGCGCAGCTTGTTTTTGATCTCGGCGTACGATGCAGCAGACTGCAGCCCTGACAAACAGAAGCACGAGTTTTGTGATGAACTCACCACTCTCGTCCTCAGGGGCAAAGGTTCTGACATTGTAGTGCTAGCTAGTGACTTTAACGCGCAAGTTTGCAAACTTACTGCGTCAGAAGCTTGTTTAGACAGACGTTGTGCCTTACCTGCTCAGCGCACAGACAACGGGGATAGGCTTCTCCATTTTTTGCAGGCAATCGGTTGTTCTTGTCTAGCACCAATTTCCGACACAGCTCGCGTCGCACAGCAACATGGCACTCTAACTCTACAGGTACTTTAAGTCAGGTTGGTTATATCGCCGTAAGCTACCGATGACGCAGTTCTGTTCAGAACTGTAGATCTTGCTGGTCCACGTAGGTAGAGTTCGACCATACATTAGTTCTAATGCGATTATCTCTGCAGCTCCATGGTAATCGTCGCAAACCGCAAACCCGGTTTGCCGTAGAACGTTTGTCTGATCCAGAAGTCTGCACCCGTTATGGACAGAAGTCAGCACATGAGCTAGGATCTACGACGAACAGTAATGTAAATGAGCATTGGGCCCATATCCAACAGGCAATGCACTTTGCAGCAGGTTTTGCCTGTGGTCGTAGATCCGATGTCCATCAAAGACACTGGATCTCGCAAGAGTCGCTGAGTATAATGGAGCAAAAGCGTCAGCTCTCGAACCGTAAGGAGATGAATAAGATGCGGAGAAAGCTTCGAAGGCAAGTTACGAAAAGCCTTAAGAAGGATCGCGAAAATTGGTTGGTCAATGTAGCCGGAGAAATGGAAATAGCAGCTGCTTCGGGTAACAGTCAAAAATTGTTCAAACTTATTCGTGACACCGGTGGACGGCAAACCCCGGTCAGTGTAACGATATACAATAGGAGTGGAAAGCCCATTCATGGCAAAGAGCAAAGGCTAGACCGTTGGATCGAATACTTCAAGGAGCAGTTTAACTGGCCGCGCGACAGTGTAGTTACTCCTGTGTCAACAACTGCGATTCTTTGGGGAATATCGCTTGAGCTCCCATCGGAAGTGGAAGTGGAGTCATGTATTCGATTACTAAAGCGTGGGAAAGCGGCAGATCCCGAAGAACTCCCCCCAGTTCTTTTCGAACTGGGTGGGAATGTTTTGGTAAAATCACTTACCGCTTTGCTCCGTGACATTTGGAACGAGGAGCTTATCCCGTTAATATGAAGCGAGTCACTGATTGTTTCCATCTTCAAGAGGGGAATACACAATGACTGTAGTAACCATCGTGGGATTGGCATAATTCCGATAGTGATCAAGGTATCAGCCTCAATTTTGCTGCGTCGTGTGACACCGGCTGGCGAGAAGAACGCCCGCGAACAGGAGGCTGAATTCCACCCAGATCGAGGATGCTTTGATCAGAATTTTACTCTTCGTCAACTACTTGAAACGCGTCACACGCACCGCCGACCGACAATAATGATTTTCTTAGACTTGATATACGCCTTCGATTCAGTTGATGGAACAACGCTTTTCAGTGCTCTTCACCGGAAAAGTACTTCTGTGGTGTGGGCAGCCGCGAAGTATTATCTACCCAGAAGCGTTCAGTATCTTTTCTTTAAAGGACCCTACCAGTAGTCCTTTTGTAATTTAAGATCGATGCGATCGCCACCAGTAATTTCGGCTGCGATGAAAGCGGTAGTTCAGGCGTTGAGTGTGAATCGGGTGTACTTCCTAATCCTAAATGTCCCCTTCTTTTGGCTGCCTTCGACAACCGCACGCTATGTCACATAGGGCAACAGGCTGCTCTCGCTAAAACACTTGACACTTTTAAAATAGATGTATGCTGTCTTCGAAAAACATATACAAAACTCCACTTGTGTGTTCACTCTTCGCACCCCAGATACAACCTCAGTCTCTCGCTTCACTCTTCGCGTGCCGAGTGATTCAGTATCTAGTGCTCGTGGTCAGGCTGGCGTTGGAATTGCTTTGAGCGTGCACTGCTAGACTGGATTCCAGTTAGCAGTCGTTTGTGTGCAATGCGGTTGGACGGTTCTGTTCGTGTCAAGAACAACAAACTAAAGCGTCAATGCTTGTTCGTCGTGCCCACTGACTGCAGCTCCTCTGAGACCAAGGACGAATTCTACCAGAATTTGTCTCTGCTGCTTTGAAGCGTGCGTTCAACAGACGTGGTGGTCATTGCTGGGCATTTCAATGTCCAAGTTGGTGGTTCGGGAGATTCCGGAAGGCACATCGGAGGCTCATTTGCTATCCCGGCCAATAGCACTGACTACGGCAATGGTCCCATCCAGCTGTGCTCTGACTACAGATTGTTTCTGGCGAGTACGAACTTATGCTATATGAAGCGGCATAGACGCACATGGCGTCCTCCTACGTCTTCACAACGTTGGACTTAGATTGACCATATTGTCGTTGATCACCGCTGGCGTGGGTTAATTGAGGATCGTCATTTGTTTGAGTCCACGCCTTGGTACTTGCTCGCTTCTGTTTGTGTTTCGTTCGTGGTTGCATCAACGTAAAAGTCGCCCGTCCTGCGCAATTGCTTCTGGACGACAACCGATGATTTGCTTTTCCGGTAGAGCTATCTACATGGTTATCGCGGCCGCTCTGACCAAGGCTGGCGCAGGAGCTTCGTCTATCTTGTCACTTGAGACCTAGATGTCGGTTCTTTTTCTCGTTTAGTTAGGCACTGAGAATCATATTCGATTTTTTGGCTTTATGCAGATAGAATGTGAATGAGATACTTTTCTTTGGACAAAGGGCTGCTGAGCTTTGGCAAGCGATGGCTGTCCAGCGAAGTTGAGTTGTTCGAAAGTCGAAAGTGACTCCAGAATCTCCACGTTTGCTTTATTCTGAAGAGAGTTTTCTGACTCTGAAGCTGCAAGTCATTGTGTCCTCTCGAGAGACTTGGTGGTTAGCCGCATAAAAAATTGTTTATTCTGTTCTTCTGTCCATGCCTCCATTCCCTTGGATGAAAATTTTCTACCACATAGCGTTCGGTTTTGTGCCCTTGCTCGAGGCAGTACATCCGCGACTAGAATTGTGTATCTTTTGTACACCTACTTTCCGAATATAACTGTTTCCGGCACCAGGGAGGCGTCTTATGCAAGAATCCAGTTTCAGTGTTGATCCAGTTGCCAGTAAGGCCGTCTTCCACCAGAAAAGAATAGCGGTCACAGGATGATTTGGTGCTCAAATCGCTCTTTCACCAATCAAATTCCAGTAATGTTGGTTACCCAAATTTTCATCGCTTCCTATCGGAACAGCTCCACTTCCCCAGAAGGCGATAGTAAAATCTTACAGACCTATTGAACTAACTTTTACCTCGCAACTACCGAATTGAGACTAAGTGTTCAGTAAGTCGTATAGGCTTGTATTCGCCCATGGGTACTTCTGTCCTCACTATTATCATTAAATTATGAGAGGTGGCCCGACGAACGAGGGTGATGTCTCACGAAAATGTGAAAAAAGCGATAACTCGCGCAAATTTATTAAGCATTAACTAGCAGGGAGCCTAAGTAGTAGACGTCAGTAGTTAGTCAGAAATTTTAAGGACACGAAAGATGGTGCGATGGTCAAAAAATGACGGTTCATTAATTGCCTTACATCAGCATACCTTTGTGCTACACATTTTAGGATTCCGTGTTCACGGCGTATATTCTTTTCGTGCGAGGGTTTTTTTTCGCGCATTCATCATGCCACTTAGACATCGAAAACTTTTGCTGCTGAATTTAATTCCTTACAGACAGGCTGCACCAATGTAACATAATACGTGATGTGTGTTATAAGCATTAAAGTATGGTCACTTTTCATTTTTGTAGTCACCTGGGCAGCTTCACAGTCTGATTTCCCAGATTTTTATTGGATTGATCATACCCATTTTACCGTTTCAGGCATTTCATACAAGCCGTCCGTACAGCAGAGGTTAAGGGACATACAACAATCGTTGGAATCTAGCTCAAACCAAACAGTGTGGCTCTGTGCCTTTTGTGGCGAGGACAATAATTTTCTAAGCCTCGGGGGTCTCTATGGTCCATATTACGTTACCGCCTCGGAGAAAGCACAAATCATACCGGAATGTGTTGCACAGCTTTCAATTTCACCCCGCACACCCGGTTCACATTCGCCGGGCAAAAACAGTAGAAGTGGAAAGAAAGGTAAACCAGCTGGTTCTGGTGTAATCACGTCCACGTTGACGCGATCTGCCGCCGCGCAGGGGCGTTCGACTGTTGCAAACATGGGTGCTTTGCGGTTGGTCATAAAAGCACCGAATAACCAAACAGTGACGGAGAAAGTTTCCAGTCTCAGACCTCGAATATCTGCAGATGGTGAGGTATGGGTACACCTGGAATGTGCCCTTTGGGCTCCGGGTACATACATCGTTGGTGATGGGACAATTGGGGGGCTTGGAGAGGCCCTGCAGCTGTCGCTGGATACGGTAAGTAATGATTCGTTTCCGTCAAGTTTGATTGTGAATGAAATACTGGTGTTTAAATCCTGTCACTCTATCGGTTTTCCGGAAGTTCTGGATGATGGTTCACAATAAATCGAAGAAACTGAAATTGAGGATGATTATGCTATTTGGTTCAAATGATTAGTAAATAAGATGTGTTAAAAACCGTTTCGTCCCTTTCTATCCCCGCATCTATCACAAGCCTTCTCGATGGGGAGTTTCCGCTTATGACAGTCTGTTCTATCTTGTGGTACTTCTCCCCACGTTCCTTAGGTCCCAGAACACCTATTTTGGTGCTTAAAGTATCACAAAACAGCTAATTGTTATGCGCTAACTGCAACAGTTCATGGGCATTGTTGGGGAGTCACTTCAGTCTTTCTATATGGTGGCGCATATTATGACAGAAATATTATTTTCCCCTAAATTCCCAGAACTTCCAAATTATCATATTTTTATTTCGATTGATGATTCCACACGCCTACATGTATTGCAACATTCGCGTCAATTCCCCTCATTACTCATTTTTCCTATTGTCCGTCTATTTCAGAGGCCAATCCGCCTCTATCTCATCAAACTATATAGACAGCCAAGCTCAACGCTCTGCGAACCACTGTTTCAGATAAACTATGAAGCAATAAATTCTTGTTCGAGCCAGTGGATGGTCTGGTTTTGAGTATTTCCCGCAGATGGCCATCAGAGTATTCCGACCGTAGGCAAAATCGTTGTGCAACTACGAGTAAAGGAGTTTCCAATATGTCCAATTTATGTTCCTAATTCACTGAAAGACTGCTATACTCTGTTGTGCGGCATGTCATACAGTCAGTTCAGACAACCATTAACCATGCACTGCGTGCCGTGGCTTTGGTTGCTGCCTCCTAGGGGCAACCTCAAAAGGAAATAATGAACGAGAAAAGAGTATGAAAGCAGTAAAAAGGGAACTACATTAATGGGATTAAGTCGATGAAGAAAGTTTGTGGATGCAACAGCGCTACAAATCGCGGCATCTAGCCATATCCCCCAACGTATCTAACCATTGAATGGGAGGGTCTCTTGGACTCCACCCAGGAAGCCTAACACGCCCTACATGGCCGAGTCCGCTAGTTAGGCTTTTCATACCTTTCTTCCATGTTATGGACTGACCACCCTTACGTATCTTCCAACCGGTACCCGCCTCAGCAAACATAGCACGCCGAGGAATCCTGTCAGGGGACATGCGTAACACATGTCCCAACCACCTTAGCCTGGCGGGCTTCAGCGTTCCATCTAATTATTTGACCCTTAGACCTAAGACTCTCCGGCGAACCTCAGCATTGCTCACACGGTGTTCCCACCTTATTCGAGAAATACTACGAAGACATCGGTGTTCAGATACTGACAATCTTCGTATGTCCTCCACCTGCAGTGGCCATGTCTCCAAGCCATACTGAAGCACGAGCCTGACTGCCACAGCGTTCACTCGGCCTTTGTTGGGTAAACGGATGTCATGTGGACGCCACAGATGACTCAGGTTGGCAAATGCCGAATGAGCCTTTTGTATACGCAGAGACACTTCATCCGATGCCTGACCTCCGGGTGAGATGCAACTTCCCAGATAACAGAACTTGTCTGCCACATTTATAGTCAGTCTCCTCAGACACTGAAAGGTTTGGCGCTGGACCAACCCAGTCTTGCAACAGCATCTTGCACTTTGACGGTGCAAAACGCATACTGAACATTGTTACGCAACCCGTCAAGCTGTCTAGAAAAGCCTGCAGCTTACCTGGATTTCTACTTAAAAGAACTGTATCGCCAGCATACTCAAGGTCTGATACCTTTCCACCCGGAAAAAGCTCAATGCCACTATCCTCACCTGACAAAAATGCGGTCTCTAGGACCATATCAATCACAAAGTTGAAGAGAAAAGGAGCAAGGGGACAACCCTGACGTACACCACTTTTTGTGGTGAACTCGGGGGAAAGATCACCATAAGCCCGAACTCGGCTTCGGCTATTAATGTAAAGAGATTTAAGGATAGAAACGAATTTCTCTGGTACACCCTTCAGCAAGAGGCAGCGCCAGAGAACTGTGCGTCAGAAACCATGAGAAGAACTGTGTGATTGTACTGTGTAATCGAACAAACGTATATCATTATTGGGTTCACCTGGTTTGAAACCATACAGACGAATTTGGTGCGCGGCCTGTTCATTTACTAAATTGGGTTTTCATTGGGACTTGACGAGATAGCCATCAGGAGATGTCGGCCAAGGATAGAAAAACTGATAGTCTTGAGTGGCTCTGTACACACCTGCATCTAATCGCAACTCAGCGAGTCTGTTCGTAGCGAACCACCCCTACCATCAGTTTTGGTAAGCTCAAAATAGAGTTCATTGGTGCGAATGCTGAGCATGTTTACCAAACCGTCATCATCGTGCAAATGCATGTATAACTGAAAAGTGCTGCAAGAAAGCGATCGATTGAAATAGCTCTTGTTTCCGCTAATGACGTGCTAATCACAGTTCACCTTCTGTTTGTATATTTTTATTCGCTTTCCCATTTGGTATTTTTTCAGATTTGTTCTCACTGTGATAAACGTGGAGCGATTTTGAACTGTTGTAGTCGAGGTTGCAATTTGCGCTATCACTATCATTGTGCAATCGCTGCCGGTACGTCATCAGAGTATTTGCCAACTTCTGGTTTTCACTATGCGGCTTGTACCTGTTCATAGTTTCCTCATCAGTACTTGATATCCAAATTAAATGGTGTAGAAATGCTGATTACAAAAATAACTAATTCCTATGTTAGCGGGAAGTTGACTTTACCAACAGGGCTTTGTCGGTGGAAAATTTAAATAGTTGTTTCCCACCGACAACGCCGTGTTAATGACAGTAACCCACTGTCGGACCGCTCGTTACCACACCTGACCCATTGGGACCTTATGTGGTTATCGACTCCAAGTCTCAGGTTCTGATTGCCGGCTATCTCTAATGTTGCAGTTGGTCTCTGAGGCACGCATGCGCAAGCATGTAATAAAAAAAACAACTTCGTACAGCACAACACAACGCATCGTTTTTTCGTCACATTCGGAACCTCGTTCGGTGCTGACACACCAATCGTAGCAGACCTTAATCAGCAGACAAAACACAAGCAAAAATAGGTGTTAGAAAAACTGCTCGTCAGATTGGAAAACTAAAATTCACGATGTCCTCAACACGGACAGTGCATCAAAGGAGCGTGTAAATAGGTTTACTATTTGAGGTTACGTGGGTCCTGTGATCTCAAGCGGAGGCGATGCGTCTTTTAGGCAAAGAAAATCAGTTTATATAGTTTGGTTGTGATCTACTATATCTGCATAACGATTAGATTAAGTAAACGGGATAATTGTGTTGTCAGCCGGAGCAGTTTTGCAGTGTTCATTGTTTCTAACCTGTCAATATTGAATCAAGGACGTAGCGGGGCGAAGCCTTTATATTCGGCCGTACTGTCCGTTACATCTCCGGTTATTTCTGTTGCATAACCATCCTCTCCTGTCCTTTTTCGTTTTTAATCACCAACTGTTACTACGAAAATGTGCTTTTACGATCATGCCATATTGTGTCCTATTGGAGTGGATTTACAGAATCTTTGGAATTAACGAATAAGTTGCGGCAAACATCTTTTGGAAGATCTACTTAGAAACGAATTCTCGGGGAGTTGAAAAATCACTCTCGGAAACATCGCGCCGGATGAATCTGTGCTTTACGTAAACAAACCTTGTCATAAATGTGTTTATCCATCTTAACCAGTTTCAAATTACGTTCTTTGCTGGGAAATATGCGGGAATTGGCCGATTTTGTTCCAAAACGAAAACCAAATTAGTGAAGACTATTTTCATGCAAGAATACTGGTTTAGGGCTGATATTGGTGACAAAGTTGTCAAAGCCGATGGTTTCGAACTGTTTCGCGCTGATCGTCAGTCCTCTATTGAAAACGTGGTAGCAATGTCATAACACACGCAAATGATTGTGTAATTTTCCCCACAATCTGCTCACGTTTTCCACGGCTCACATCAGTGCTTCCATTGTTAAGTGTAAGCTTAAACACCAATCACCGTCGATCGATTATATATATATATATATATATATATATATATATATATATATAAACATTTCCCTGAGATGTCCAACTTCTGAACTGGATGAATTCTCTGACACTTTCCTCTAATTTGTTAAATCATCTTGACCCTTCTTTATGTGTAGTATGCGCTGATTTCAACAGGTTTGACGTGAGTTTCCTCGTCAACTTGGGTCCGAACATAATTGTTACTTTTTCCACTTTACTGGACGCTCATCTAGACCTACGTTTTGTTAACATCCCCAATTTGTTTCATACTTCTTGCTGGCCCCCGATTTGGTGCTCTGATAGTGCCATATTGTAAGTTTCTCCCATGATTTTTCGTAAAAATAAACACAAACACTGCGCCGGAGGCGCGACCGAAAGACCCTAAGACGACAGTGTCACTCAGAAAACCTTTCCAAACTAAGGGACATAATAACCAACTCCGACCTAAGTATATTTATTCAATCCGACCTGTCCTTATCCTGCAAACATTTTATAGACTATTTAAATTATTGCCACAATCCGTGTTGTCACACAGAAACGTTATACATCCGTTCCGACAGATTCTCATCTCCACATTTGAAGCACCTACGCCGAGAATGACATCACGACGAGACTGCACCTTGACGTGGTGTGATGGCTTGCGCGCCTCTATGACCCAAAGAGCTATACGGGATGGCTTATTTAAGCCGGAGATGCAATCATACCTGACAGGTCAGTAGGTAAAGGCCAGGCGAAGTCCAGGCTCCTGGTTCTCCAGGTTGGGGGTCGATCTGAGCTGGCAACTCAATCGGCAAAATCCGTGGAAGTAGAATTGATCCAAGCAAATGGGCTTTTACTAAGCCATCCCGCTGCCTTGCGGATAGGTTCTTGTTAGAAGTAAAGGCTTTGGATGAGGACCCTAATCGTTCTCCTGCTTTGTGGCTGGACACCCTGGCAGTACCCGTCCAACATCTCCCATGAACTGCACGAATACAAAGAATTCCATACTGCATCGGTCGTCGTACAGAATAATCAGGACCGCGCTGCCCATTGCATGGAGCGGGGTGGGTAGTGATAAGTGAGCTACTGCTCAGAGTTCCCTCTCTTTTATTCAACCCTTGTCTTCTGTTGTCAACCACCTCTCTTTGCCCCCTCTATTCACTCATAATGCTTCCACTGATAACACGGTCGATACTCGCAACGGCTCATTGTCAAATGGTGTCCGGAATAATCCTCTGTCTTGTGACTCACATTTTCTCAAGCCTCGTCAGCCTCTGAATCATGGCTACTTTGACGTGCTTTCTTTTGTGCGGGCCGGTCAGCAGGTGTGCCTAGCGCTCACGTTTGATTCTCTGGCGATTGATGTCTGCTGCGTACCTAAAGCGTGTATCCAGGATTCGAGCAGTGTGATTCAACTAACTGCTCCAGGTATCTCATCGAGGTATTTTCCGCGCACTTCATGAGACGAAGTAGCTCGAGCTGCGGGTAAACGTGGTGTAGGAATAGTCTCGACTGACAAAGCTGAAGCTGCCTTTTTAGACTAGATCTTGGTTAATAGTCGTTTATGTGCTATAATACTCCAGGCTCCAGTTGGCGTTCGAAAGGATAGCTGTGTTAAGCGCAGCTTGTTTTTGATCTCGGCGTACGATGCAACAGACTGCAGCCCTGACAAACAGAAGCACGAGTTTTGTGATGAACTCACCACTCTCGTCCTCAGGGGCAAAGGTTCTGACATTGTAGTGCTAGCTAGTGACTTTAACGCGCAAGTTTGCAAACTTACTGCGTCAGAAGCTTGTTTAGACAGACGTTGTGCCTTACCTGCTCAGCGCACAGACAACGGGGATAGGCTTCTCCATTTTTTGCAGGCAATCGGTTGTTCTTGTCTAGCACCAATTTCCGACACAGCTCGCGTCGCACAGCAACATGGCACTCTAACTCTACAGGTACTTTAAGTCAGGTTGGTTATATCGCCGTAAGCTACCGATGACGCAGTTCTGTTCAGAACTGTAGATCTTGCTGGTCCACGTAGGTAGAGTTCGACCATACATTAGTTCTAATGCGATTATCTCTGCAGCTCCATGGTAATCGTCGCAAACCGCAAACCCGGTTTGCCGTAGAACGTTTGTCTGATCCAGAAGTCTGCACCCGTTATGGACAGAAGTCAGCACATGAGCTAGGATCTACGACGAACAGTAATGTAAATGAGCATTGGGCCCATATCCAACAGGCAATGCACTTTGCAGCAGGTTTTGCCTGTGGTCGTAGATCCGATGTCCATCAAAGACACTGGATCTCGCAAGAGTCGCTGAGTATAATGGAGCAAAAGCGTCAGCTCTCGAACCGTAAGGAGATGAATAAGATGCGGAGAAAGCTTCGAAGGCAAGTTACGAAAAGCCTTAAGAAGGATCGCGAAAATTGGTTGGTCAATGTAGCCGGAGAAATGGAAATAGCAGCTGCTTCGGGTAACAGTCAAAAATTGTTCAAACTTATTCGTGACACCGGTGGACGGCAAACCCCGGTCAGTGTAACGATATACAATAGGAGTGGAAAGCCCATTCATGGCAAAGAGCAAAGGCTAGACCGTTGGATCGAATACTTCAAGGAGCAGTTTAACTGGCCGCGCGACAGTGTAGTTACTCCTGTGTCAACAACTGCGATTCTTTGGGGAATATCGCTTGAGCTCCCATCGGAAGTGGAAGTGGAGTCATGTATTCGATTACTAAAGCGTGGGAAAGCGGCAGATCCCGAAGAACTCCCCCCAGTTCTTTTCGAACTGGGTGGGAATGTTTTGGTAAAATCACTTACCGCTTTGCTCCGTGACATTTGGAACGAGGAGCTTATCCCGTTAATATGAAGCGAGTCACTGATTGTTTCCATCTTCAAGAGGGGAATACACAATGACTGTAGTAACCATCGTGGGATTGGCATAATTCCGATAGTGATCAAGGTATCAGCCTCAATTTTGCTGCGTCGTGTGACACCGGCTGGCGAGAAGAACGCCCGCGAACAGGAGGCTGAATTCCACCCAGATCGAGGATGCTTTGATCAGAATTTTACTCTTCGTCAACTACTTGAAACGCGTCACACACACCGCCGACCGAAGACGGTGTAAAGCGATCATTTTGTTAAGAAAGCAAAAGAACCGGTATAGAATTCATCTTGTTATTTTCACTGTAGTATTTCTCACTCACTATTTCTATAAAAAATTCGGGTATTATGCTGTTTATCATTTTTGAGAATAACCTGATTCTTTTCTCATCTTACATTTCAGAATGCCAACTGGACCACGAACAGTACACACTTCTATGCAAAAAACACCTTATATATTGCTAGTTAATCCATTTGATCTCCAGCGTCACTTTTCTGTCTAGATCGATTGTTTTATTTCCATGGTCTTGTACAAACCGTTGAAAATTCTCCTGTACCCATGACCCGTCACCCTATCTGAGCCGATAATATCAGCGTTGTGGTATTTCTCACCTCTGAAACGTTCTGTGGCATGAGTTCTAGTTCATGTTTACCTGTACGCGTTCTGCAGTGCAAACAGCTCAGCTAATGAGCACTCTCGCTCCCATTTTCGTTAACACCATAATCTTTGGGTGAAGATGCATACCGTTCAGCCCGCAAATCTTTGTTCAGATCCTGTCGTGTGTCTATTTTGCAAAAAAAATTGTCCATACTCTACAGGTTACCTTTTTCTACTTGTAGTGAGATCCTCGTATGACAAATTGGGTGGAGTTATAGATTCACCGTAGTAGTTGAACGATATTGCAAATTTACGGCCACAGCAGTGGTGTCTTTTATCCGAATTTGCTTATAAAAATGGCAGTCACATAAATGTAAAATCTGGACCTCGGGACATCTATATGCATTATGTTGTCCGGCAAACTGTGGTGGGTTATATCTGTGCAAACGTTCGCGTAGTTGTTTTTCTGACCGCACCTATTGTTTTATCAAACCCGTCACAATAAACCTGTGTTTCGAACATACGCTACCTGTGTGCGGCATACAAAGTTTTCTTGTCTTATGCAACAGAGTCAACCTGTGCCCGCGATCAGTACCAATCTGCTCCCATAGAAACGGAGACTAGCTATGCGTTTCTCTGGTTATCTTTTAGAACAAGTCAATGGGGAAATAAACGATTAGGTGTAAAAATAGCAGAAAACAAATGTAAAATATACCAGGGGGCTGAAGAGTCTCTAGTCACTGAGTGGGGATGTTTCTGAACACCGTAAGTCAACACCATCGTGGTGCTAAACAGTAAGGCGGGGCCCGCTGCCTTCTTCATATTGCACCTAGCAGCAGAAAGAATAAATATGAAAGGTGGACAGGAGCGGGACACGAAAGGAACGCCCTAGTAGCCAACACACGAAATATACAGTCTAACTGTACAAGCGCACCTTGATCAACCATTCTGATTCGACAGAAAGTGACAACACGATCGCCACTGTTCACGGTTCGCTGCCATATCCTTCAGTTTATCCGGCCAAATGGTTGATGAATCTTCTGGACCCCAACCACGAAGACGTGAAGCAACTACTTTTCCTGTACATTTTCTCATTTCTCACTGACACGTCATCTGTTGACCTCCACATGGTTTGTTCCACTCCCTAGGAGGAACGGATAATAGGACACGGTATGGTAGACGTGTGTTTGCCATACGTAACGCGTGCCTCAACCAACGAATTCTACTAAGCTGGATACCCTGTGGCGAAACGTTCTCCGAATTAGTATCAAATACTCGCTTTCTGACCTCAGCATTGTTCACTCGGCTATTCCATCCAATCTTAGCGATACTACGTAAACATCGGTGGTCGGAAACCTCAAGACGATAAATGTCTTCCACACGCAGACCCCAAGTCTCGCAACCGTACAACAAAACTGAACGCACCGCAGCACAGTATACACGACCTTGCAACTTCAGTGAAATATCAGGTTGGCGCCACAAGTGCTTCAGTTCAGCGTACGCCGCTCGAGCCTTGGATATGTGCGTGCTCACCTCTACTACCGTGCTCCCATCCGTCGTCACGCTGCTGCCGAGGTAACTGAAGTGGTCAACAATTGCCAGCACCTCATCGAGCACCAAACTCGGAATCGTTGACGTCCAGTTTTGCAACATCACTTTACACTTTGAAGGTACAAAGAGCATGACGAATGAAATTACAGCCCTTGCGAGTCTATCCGGTGCATGTTCCGTGCATTCGAACAAGAAGACAAGGTCATCTGCGTAATCTAGGTCACATTACTTTTCGCCATTCGCTTCTTCACGAGGAGACTGCACCTTGGCATGGTGTGATGGCTTGCGTGTCATGATGACGCAGAGCTATGCAGGGCAGTTTCTTGAAGCCGGAGATGCGATCATGCCTGTGTCGATGTGTACAGGCCAGCAGAAGTCCAGTCTTTGAACCAGTTGATGGGCAACATCTGGTTGTAACCGCTATGCCCCTGGAGGGGACACACACTCCAGTGAATAAACACGGGGAAAGCAATTTACCGGTCTTAAAACCTCCACTAGACGGACGTAAGTGTGGAATACTTGGGGTTTCTTCCAACGGTGTGAGAAGTGATCGCATTTCATTGGGCAGCTATCGCCCGCCTAAGCTTGGCAGCCCCCAGCCCAAAGATTGCTGCCCCGTATGCGTTCCGCTTGCTCCATGGGGTGCATTGGTCTAAGGAATTAACCCGAAAGGCGGATTGATAATGAAACACCACGAATACAAGACAAAACGCATGCAGTAAACAATTCTCACATGACAGACCCGAAGAAGTTTCTTTCATGGGTGCTTTGGTCACGTTCCCGTGCTGGGTTGACGCCCCACTGCCTTGTGAGTCAGACTTTTGAGTTGAAGGCTCAGGTTAGGAATCCCAAGGAAAACTCATTCTGCCATGTGGGCAGCCGCGAAGTTTGATGTGCCCAGAAGTCTCCAGCGGTCAATCGGGAAACATTCCTTATCTCTGCTCTCCATCCTTTACATTCCAATTCTAAATGCGCACGAGTAGCCACAGTGAGTAGTGACCCAGAACTAGTAGCTCTCGGAAAGGGTAACAAATTAGAGACAGGGGAAGAAAGAGAACCCATTGTCCGACCTAAGCATCCTCTTCACTTAGCTGTTTTCAAGGTCCGCAGACTTTACCAAACGGGGCCGCAAGCTGTTCCAGGTAGGACCCTTGAAACCTTTAACATAGACGTCTGTTGTATCTCCGAAACACGCATACAAAACCCAACTTTAATATTAACACTTTGCCCCCTCTCCCAGATACAAGCTCGGCCTCTCGTTTCACTCTTCGCGTGTCAGGTGATTTGATGTCTAGTGCCCGTAGTCAGGCTGGCGTTGGCATCGCTCTGAGCGTGCACTGCTTGACTGGATCCCAGTTAGCAGCCGTCTGTGTGCAGTTCGGTTGAATGGTTCTGTGCATGTCAACTGTAGCTCTCTTGAGGCTAAAGACGAAGTCTACCGGGATTTGTCTCAACTGCTCTGGAGTATGTACTCTACGGACATCATGGTTGTTGCTGGTGATTTCAATGATCAAGTCGGAAACCTAGACGAGACGGGCAGGAATATGGGAGGCCAGCCGGTTGAAGTGATAACGGTGATCGACTCATTCAACTATGTTCCGATCATGGACTATTCCCAGCGAGTACAAATTTCTCGCACGAAAAGCGACACCGACTAGCCTGGCGCTTTCCTGTGCCTTTATAGCGTTGGACCCAGATCGACCATACTGCTATCGGTTGCCGCTGGTGCAGATCAATTCAAGACTGTCGGTCTTTTTGGTCCCTGTCTGTAGACACTGATCACGCTCTTGTCCGCGCGCGCTTCAGCTTGCGCCTCGTCGGTGGCCGAAACAACGCCAAAGCAAACCGTCCCCCGCAGCTGCTACTGGACGATAACCAACGATCTGCCTTCCGAACAGAATCATCCACCAGGTTGTCGATACAGCCAAATGCCCAGGATTCAGAAGAGCGATGGACAGAGACCAAACAGGCTCTACCTGCGGCTGCTGATGCTACCCAAGGTCCACCAACTAAGCATACACAGGAACGATGGATATCTGCATCCTCAGTTACGCTGTTAGATGTGCGGCGATCGATTCCTTCAGATTCCAGATACGACGAGGCACGGAAATGTCTTAAACGCCAACTGATCCAGAGCGTGAGAAACGAACGTGAGCAGTGGTGGATTGCGAAGTGTAAGGAGATCGAAAACGTTGCGGAGATTGGCAACAGATGCAACACTTTCCGTCTGATTAGACAAGCCGGTCCACGTAAACCAGGCGTTAGCGAATTGGTCAAAGAAGCGAACGGCTCGCTGATTCAAACTCAGCAGCGTCGCCTATTTCGCTGGGCGGAGCACTTTCGAGATGCAGTTTAATCGTCCTTTGTCCTCTTCAGGTTTGCTCACTGGCGCAATGGGTACAGCCCTTGTTGTGGATACCAGTCCTCCGTCAGAAACGGAGCTTCTACGTGAGACAAGCTGTCTTAAACAACATAAGGCTGCCGGTCCGGATGAATTTCCTCCGTCTATTTTCAAAGACGGTGGCCCAGCACTTTTACTGGAGTTGACGAAACTCCTCGGTTTGAAATGGGAGAATGAACAAGTTCCTAAGAGTTGGTGTGAATCGGTGATCGTACCGATTTATAAGAAAGGCGACAGGTCCTCCTGTGAAAACCACAGGAGAATAAGCCTGGTAAGCACCGCATCCAAACTGCTCGTCAGTATTATTCCCCGCCGCATTTCAAACGCTTGCGAACAGTGCTCGCGCAAGAATCAAGCTGGGTTTAGACATGGTCGATGTTGTATTGATCACATTTTCATTCTTCGACAAACTTTAGAACATAGACACACATTCCGTAGGCCTACTATCTCCGTTTTTCTTGATCTCGAAATGGCCTTCGACTTGGTTGACCGCACAATTCTCTGGCGTTGCCTCTTTCTGAAGGGTGTACCAGAGAAATTCGTTTCTATCCTTAAATCCCTTTACATTAATAGCCGAAGCCGAGTTCGGGCTTATGGTGATCTTTCGCCCGAGTTCACCACAAAAAGTGGTGTACGTCAGGGTTGTCCCCTTTCTCCTTTTCTCTTCAACTTTGTGAGTGATATGGTCCTAGAGACCGCATTTTTGTCAGGTGAGGATAGTGGCATTGAGCTTTTTCCGGGTGGAAAGGTATCAGACCTTGAGTATGCTGACGACACAGTTCTTTTAAGTAGAAATCCAGGTAAGCTGCAGGCTTTTCTAGACAGCTTGACGGGTTGCGTAACAATGTTCAGTATGCGTTTTGCACCGTCAAAGTGCAAGATGCTGTTGCAAGACTGGGTTGGTCCAGCGCCAAA